TGGTGAGTAATTGATTATTATAAATCGATAATGTCAATGATAAGTTGTTAATTTTAAAATATAATCGGAGAAAAGAGAAATTCAAACAAAATAACAAAGCAGGTGAGTCGGTAGCGCCGATTTATTTTGTGTTTTCATCCCTTAACTTTCAAAACTTTTAAATTTATCACTAAGTTTTCAAAATTTTATTTTGTTTGTTACTCGATAGTTAAGTATATAACATCAACACTATAGTGCTATGCTTTGGGTTTTATTTCTAAAATTACCTAAATTTTCAGTTGTGTTTTTCATGGTCAATAAATTTCTTCATTATCGTTCGACAATCGTTAATAATAGTTTTGACGTAATTGTTATCAAAATGTTCCTTTTCTCATCGTTTTCTTCTTCTCAATTTGATTTCTCTTAAAATCATTTTAAAATTGACAAATCTCAAATTAAGTTTTGATCTTATCTTGGGCCGATCTATAATCTCTACTATTTGATTAACATAGAATCAAGATATATTATTTTTCTCCTCCTTCTCCATCTCCCCATCATTCGCATTTGAAAGAAAAAAATTTAGCATCAGTGAATCGAAGTAATTCTAAAAATAGGAGTTGAGAGAAAACTTTTTATAATTTTTTGCATAAAATTACTAAAACAATTTAATTGACATAAAGACGTAAAGGTTGAGTGACTTAAGAGTTAAGAGTAAAATTTAAAAGTTTAATGATACAATTAAAATGTTTAAAAGTTAGATGACCAAAACAAAGAAACACTGAAAATTTGGTGATTAAGTGTGCAATTTACTCTTTTGAATTTAAATTAAATTAACTAAAACCCAACATGTTTCTCTCTTTATTATAGTAAAGTATGCAAATTGTCCCTCGACTATAGGATAGTACTTTGTTGAGTCATTGGACTATTAAAAGTTACAAAATAGTCACTTGATTATTCATATGTTCTAAATTCATCCTTTTCCATTAAAAAAATTGATGATTGTCTAAGCTAGACGTTAATTTATTAATTGTAATATGATAAAGTTATATTTTAATAATGTCTATTGGCACCGTCATTGCTTTCAAGCACTGACTCGACAGTATAATGTTAAACGATGATTCAATCCATAAAATACAACTCAAACGGTTCTGAGATCAGATTTTATCATATCTCAGTAAACATATTAATGTTCAGCTCAGACGGTCACCATTTTTTAACGAAAATGACAAGTTTTGAACTATGAACAATTGAGTGATCATTTTATTACTTTTAATCGTCAGATAAGTCAATAAAGCAATATCATATAATTAAAATATTATTTTATAACTTTTAGTAATTAAGATATTTAATAAAATAATATTTTATAGTCGAGAGACCTTTTTTGTACTTTAACGCTTACGTGCCTTTTTAACTGCATCGATTTCTTCTTCCATTTCACGACAACGAAAGTTCTCTTCCTTTTTTATTTTTTTTATCGGCGACGTCTCAAATCACCGGTAATCTTATCTATAAGGTCCAATTTCCGGCACCCTCTGTTGAAAAATGGTGCCACCTAAATTGGTGGCACTGAAAGTTGAATTGAAAAACAATTCCACCTAAATTATTGAAAAAATGAATGGTAAAATTGCACATTTAGTCCTTGTAATTTAGGTTATTTATAAGAGTAGTCCTTAAGCTTCAACTATAAATACCCTAACCCATTTAGCTTCAAAACCATCCCAAATCATTATATCTTTCTCTCAATACTAGAGAATTTAGAAAGTTTTCTTGAGAGTTGTTTTCTCATTTTTACCAAGAGATAATTGTCATTGTTTTTCCCTTGTTAGATCGAGAGAAGTTGTAATTCATATTTTCTCATAGTGAAATTCTTCCATCGTTGTTCGTGGTTTTTACCCTATATTATTTAGGGGTTTTCCACGTAAAATTTGTGTCTTCTTTATCTTCATTTTTATTTTCTCAAATTATCAGTTGTGATTTTGCTCTATCCGATAGTCGTATTCCGCAACAATTGGTATCAAGAGCCAGATTAGAGTGTGTAATATCTACTTATTATCTTTGTGGTTACCACCAAAAGGTGGATCCTCCAACATAAGAAAGTAAGAAGGTATTACCCATTCTTTAAAGGTTCTAGAGAACTATTCACGATAGTGAAATAGTGGGAGCTATCCATAATAGAAGCTATGGAAACGAAATTTGATATTGAAAAGTTCAATGAGAGAAATATCTCATTGTGGAAATTGAAGATGAAGGCCATCCTGAGGAAAGAAGGTTGTCTAGCAGCAATCGGTGAAAGGCCGGTAGATTTCGCTGTTGACAACAAATGGATCGAATGAATGAGAATGCTATGGCAAACTTTTATCTAGCATTAGCAGATGAAGTATTGTCAAGCATCGAGGAGGAGAAGACAGCTAAGGAGTTATGGGATCATCTCACCAAATTGTATGAGGTCACATCGTTGCACAATAAAAATTTTCCTTAAGAGGAAATTTTACACTCTTTGTATACCAGAATCTATTTCAGTGACGGAGCACTTAAACACACTGAACACTTTATTTTCTCAGCTTACATCCTTAAGATGTACAATAGGAGAACAAGAACGTGTTGAACTTCTACTTCAAAGTTTACTTGATTCGTATGATCAACTTATCATCAACTTGACAAAGAGTAATGTCACCAGTCTAGTCTTCGATGACGTTGCAGATGTTATTCTACAAGAAGAAAATCGGTGCAAGAACAAGGAAAAGATAAGTAAATCTGTAACAAGCAGAAGTGTTGACAACGATGAGAAGGAGATCAACAGAACGTGGCCAAAGCAGCAGTCACAAACATGGTAGATCAAAGTTGAGAATCAAAAAGAATTTAAAGTGCTACAACTGTGGAAAGAATGGTCACTTGAAGAATGATTGTTGGAGTCTAGGAAAAATCTCCAATCCACAAGGCAATAATGTAAACACTTCAGATGATGGAGATGCTCTATGTTGTGAAACGTCAACCACCATAGAAGGCAGAAAGAGATTTGCAGATATATGACTCATTGATTCAGGAGAAACATATCACATGACCTTAAGAAGAGAATAGTTTCATCATTATGAACATGTCTCAAGAGGATCTGTGTATAGTTGCAATGATCGTGCCTTAGAGATTGTTGGCGTGGGAACCATCAAATTGAAAATGTATGATGGAACAATTAAAGTTGTCCAAGATGTGCGGCACGTGAAAGGCCAGAAGAAAAATTTATTATCCTACGGATTGTTGGATAATAATGCAAGCAAGATTGAAACACAGAAAGGAATCATGAAGGTTTTCTGTGGAGCACTTGTGGTGATGAAAGGAGAAAATATAGCAAACTTGTACATGCTAAAGGGAGAGACTTTGCTAGAAGCAGAATCCTCTGTTGCCTCATCTAGTTCAGATTCTGCAATGATATGGCATCAGAAACTTGGACACATGTCAGAACAAGGAATGAGATTCATTGTAAAGAAAAAGCTACTTCCAGGCTAAAGGTATCACTTACTTTGTGTGAGCATTGCATAACAAGTAAGCAGCATCGGTTGAAATTCAACACATCAAATTCTAGAGGCAAAAGTGTTCTAGAATTGGTTCATTCTAACGTATGGCAAGCACCAGTTGCATCCCTAGGCGGAGCAAAATACTTTGTCTTATTTATTGATGACTACTCTAGGAGATGTTGGGTGTACCCTATTATGAAGAAGTCAGATGTGTTTTCAACTTTCAAAAACTTCAAAGCGCGGGTGGAACTTGATTCTGAAAATAAGATTAAGTGTTTCAGAACAGATAATTGAGAATACACAAGAGAAGAATTTGATGACTTTTACAGGAAAGAAGGCATCAAAAGATAGTTCACAGTGGCGAACACTCCTTAACAAAATGGAGTGTCAGAGCGGATTAACATAACCTTGTTAGAAAGAACAAGAGCAATGTTGAGAGTTGTAGACCTAGAAAAATCATTTTGGGTAGAAGCATTCAATACCGCATGTTTTTTGTGAATCGAGCTCCATCAACTGCAATAGAGCTGAAGACACCAATGGAGATGTGGACTGGTAAACCAGCTGATTATTCAAACCTCCATGTATTTGGAAGAATTGTGTACGTGATGTGCAACTCCCAAGAAATTTCAAAGTTGGATCCAAAATCCAGGAAATACAAATTCTTGGGGTATGCTGATGGAGTAAAGGGGTATCGCTTGTGAGATCTCACTGCCCGCAAAGTGATCATCAGCAGGGATGTTATCTTTGTAGAAGATAAACTACAAATAAAAGAAGATGATGATAGCGCTGAAAAGTCAGAGACTACACAGATACACGTGGAAAAAGATTTTGAACAAAGAGATTCTTCTGAAGCATAACCAACACATGATGAACAATAACCAGAGAGTTTTGAAGCTCCATCAACTCGTCAATCAGATCGTGTGAGAAGACATCCCAATTGGTACTCAGAGTATGTTATAGAAGGAAATATTGCATACTACCCATCAACATTCCATGAGGCAATAAACAGCTCAGATGCTTCACTTTGGATGATGGTGATGCAAGACAAAATCGAAGCCCTTCATAAAAATAATACATGGAACCTTGTGCCACTACCACAAGGAAGGAATCCAATTGGTAACAAATGGTCTTCAAAATCAAGCGAAATGGTGACGATCAAGTTGAGAGGTATCGTGCAAGACTGGTGGTCAAAGGATATGCTCAAAAAGAATGTATTGATTTCAATGAAATCTTTTCTCCTGTGGTTAGACTAACAACAGTTCGAGTAGTCTTGGAAATGTGTGCTACATTGAATTTACATCTAGAGCATCTAGATGTTAAAACAACTTTTCTTCATGGAAATCTTGAAGAAGATATTTACATGCTCCAGCCTAAAGGTTTTGAAGAAAAAGAAAAGAAGAAAAATAAAAGAAGAACTTGTTTTGCATGTTGAACAAATCTATGTACGGTCTAAAGTAGGCGTCGATGTGTTGATATAAGAGATTTGATTCTTTCATTATGTTTCTTGGATACAACAGACTTAACGCATACCCTTGTACTTATTTCAAGAGGTTTGGTGATAACGATTTTGTTATATTGATGTTGTATGTGGATGACATGTTGGTTGCAGGACCCAACAAAGATCATATTGAAGAATTAAAGGCATAACTGACTAGGGAATTTGAAATAAAGGACGTGGGATCAACAAACAAGATTCTAGTGATGCAAATTCACCGAGACAGAAGTAATAGGAAGATTTGGCTTTCACAAAAGAATTACTTGAAGAATATCTTATCAAGATTCAACATGCAAGATTGTAAGCCAATTTCTACCCCTCTTCCTATTAACTTCAAATTATCCTCCAGTATGAGTCCTAGCAGTGAAGAAGAGAGGATGGATATGTCTCGAGTATCGTATTCATCAGTAGTGGGAAGTTTAATGTTCGCTATGATATGCACAAGACCAGACATTGCACAAGCAGTGGGAGTGGTTAGTTGGTACATGGCGAATCCAGGCAAAGAGCATTGGAATACAGTAAAGAGGATCCTGAGATACATCAAAGGGACCTCAAATGTTACATTATGTTATGGAGGATTAAACTTACTTATCAATGGGTATGTCGATTCTAACTATGTAGGGGATTTAGATAAAAGCAAATATACTACAGGATATGTGTTCAAAGTTGCTGGTGGAGCTATAAGCTGGGTTTTAAAATTGCAATCAATTGTGGTTACATCCACAACAGAGGCAGAATATGTAGCAGCTACACAAGCCAGTAAAGAAGCAATCTGGTTGAAGATGCTATTGGAGGAGCTTGGGCACAATCAAGAGTATGTCTCTCTATTTTGTGACAGTCAAAGCGCCTTGCATCTAGCAAGGAATCCAACATTTCATTCAAGAACAAAACACATACTAGTTTAGTACCACTTCATTCGTGAAAAGGTGGAAGAATGGACGGTAGATATGCAAAAGATCCATACCAAAGACAACATAGCAGATTTCATGACGAAGACGATCAATGCTGATAAATTTACTTGGTGTCAATCCTCTTGTGGCCATTCAGAGACGTAAGCAATATAATGGTACAAGATAAAAAGAATGGTTTGAAGATATGATTGTTCCAATCAATTCTTTAAGTGGAGATTGTTGAAAAATTGTGCCACCGAAATTGGTGGCACCGAAAGTTGAATTGAAAAACAATTCCACCTAAATTGTTGAAAATATGGATGGTAAAATTAAATATTTAGTCCTTGTACTTTAGGCTATTTACAAGATTAGTCCTTAAGCTTCAACTATAAATACTCTAATTCATTTATCTTCAAAACCATCCCAAATCATTCTAGCTTTCTCCCAATACTAGAAAATTTAGAGAGTTTTCTTGAGAGTTATTTTCTCCTTTTTATCAAGAGATAATTGTCATTGTTTTCTCCTTGTTAGATCGAGAGAAGTTGTAATTCATATTTTCTCATAGTGAAATTCTTCTACCGTTGCCCGTGGTTTTTACCCTACATTATTTAGGGGTTTTCCACGTAAAATTTGTGTCTTATTTATCTTCATTTTTATTTTTTCAAATTTTCAGTTGTGATTTTGCTCTATTCGATAGCCGTATCATGCAACACTCTCTATCTTCTGCTTCGACATCTCGTGGTTAACCATATTCCAACTCGTCGCCGTCATGAATCCTGAATAGTAAGCTTTTTTTCCTCCCTCTTCAAATCTTTGAGAAAAATAGTAACCAATTAATTTCGTTTATTCTTGTTACTCTGTTTTGTTTTCTATAGATCTGTTTTTTTTATTATAATTCTTCTGAATTAGCGGTTATTTGTTTTTCCTATATACCTGTGCTTCTTTCTTTATCTTGGCCTTGTCAATCAGATCCGATTGATTGAAGTTTCAGATGTACTCATTGCTTTTCTCATGATAAGTTGGCTAATTAATAATAATTATGGCTGAAAGTCGTGACTTATAGAAGTGATTTCTTAAGTCGGAAGTAATCAAGTGGATTTTGATTACTCATAATCTGAAGTATAAAAAGCTCATCCTGCTAGGGAGAAAATCTAATCTTGATTGATAATACAAAATTTTTATATGGGATAAACACAATATAATCAGCAAATTAATAACTAAACGAAGTAAATTTAGATTTCAGGTGAACACTCGCCCACTTTAAAGAGTACGTAGATCCGTCACCGCTTTCGTTAGATGTTTGCTTATATGTTGGATTTTTTACTATTTCAGAATTTATTATGAATATTATTTTCCTTATGGAAGTGATTATCTGTTTAAACTTTTTCTTATTGGAGATTCTGGTGTAGGGAAATCATGTTTACTTTTGAGGTTTGCTGTAAGTTCTTGGTTACTCTTTGAATTTCATGCCTTGTGACCTTAGCTTCATGATTTGAGATGTTTTCTTTTTCCTCTTATAATATGCGGTTTATGCGTTTGAACTCAATTTCTTTAAGTTTTGCAAACCAGGATGATTCATATCTGGAGAGTTACACCAGTAAGTATTGTCTCCGTAGTTTGTTCATTTATGTCTTGTGAATGGTAAGTTAATTACAAATCGTATTCCTATCTGCAGAAAATCCGCACTGTAGAACAGGATGGAAAAACCATCAAACTCCAAGTTGTATGTTTGTAATTGGATGGCTATCATTTCTTTTGTTAATCAAGATTTATTTGGAACCCATGCTTCAACCCTGGTGTACATGTTCTGTTCCTGCTTGAGATGTGTTTTGTTCGGTAGAATTTTGAAATAGAATACTTTCTCACATTTTGTTCACTAATATTATGAGTATATATACAATTAAAAAGGTCTTATAATATGTACCTAATATTTAGCGTATAAATCTATAACATGCTTCCTCTAGTTGGAGTATAGATATTAATTATGTCTAGCTTGTTACATAAATAATCAATTCGAACCTCATTAAGAGCGTTTACTAAAATATCTTCTAATTGTTTTCAGGTTTTCACATAACGGATAGTAATCAAACCATATTAGATCTTTTGCGAATAAAATGACAATCAAATTTATTGTGTTTCGTTCATTCATGAAAGATTGGATTAGAAGTAATGTGAGACGTAACATGTTTATCACAATCACACTATAGCTTCTTGAAATCTAAATTCTCACTTCATTGCCTATATGATTTCACAAAAAGACTTAATCATAGCTCTCTATATTCAGCTTCTGCATTGGATTGTAAGACCACATTTTATTTCTTACTAATTCATGAAATTAAGTTTCTTTCAACAAACACACAATATCTTAAAAAAGATTTCCTATCTCCCTCACACCTTACCCAATCCAAGTAAAAAAATACTTGATCTTAATATGATCTTGAATGTCATGTAGTATTTCACCTCCGGGTGTACTTTTCAAATAATGTAAAACTTGTTCTACTTTCGTTGCAATGATCGACGATTGGTGATATTTAAACTCAATACATTTACGGAATGAACAATATCAAAACGTGTAACAATAAGATAATTTAACTTTTCAATAAGTCTTATGTACGTACCTTTCAGAACCTCTAAATAATTCACCTTCTTCGGTTAATTATAAAATAAGAATCATTGGAGTACTATATGATTTAACACCTAATTTTTTTTTTCAACTCTGATAATAAATTAAGCATATATTTCTTATGAGAATAAGAAGATTTTATTCGTACTCTTGCTAACTTCAACTCACAAGAAAATATTTCAACATCCTCAAGTCTTTGGTATGAAACGTAGTATAGAGAGAAGAATTCAGAGATGAAATTCCGCTAAAGTCATTACCAGTGAATGCAATATTATCTGTGCATATACAACTAACAGAGTAATACCTCTATCAGGCTTTTATAGAAAATAGAATGATCTGATTTTCTTTTCCTTTTTCTATCTCGAGCTTCTCAGTAGTTTGGTTAAACTTCCCAACTAAGTTCGGGGACTCCGTCACAAGTCATATAGGGTTTTTTCAAATGACATACTTTTTTGTACTTCCCTAACAAAGAAAATCAAGTGGTTTCTTTATATATACCTACCCATGAAGATCACCATGGGGGGGGGGGAAACGTTCCAGAAGTCGATTAAAAGTCATTGCAACGAAGATAGATAATATGATAAAAGCAAGTTTAGCAGTCGAGGAGAACGTGATAATCCACTCCATAAGTCTGATCAATCCTTTAGCAATAAGTCTAGATTTCAGTCGAGCAATTAAGTCATCAAAGTTGAATTTGACATTAAGCACCCACTATCAAAAATTAGGTTTCATTGACATCTAGAACAATCATCTTCTTAAGCATAGCCTTACTTCATGTCCTTGTTCTATGATTTCATGTAGCATTTTGAAATACAATATCTTTTTCATAATTTTATATACAATAATAAAAGTCCTCTAATATGTAAAATAATATCCTACATTAAATATAATATATATCAACAAGTGGTGGATCTAAAAATATTTTTCAGGGTATGTACACAAATATTATAATACAAAAAATTTATACGAGGTGAGCACAAATAAAATTTCAGGGTGGACACAAAACATAAAATGAACAATTAATCGAAGAAAATTTCAAGGTGGGCAACAAGCTACATCCGTCACTGATATCAACCCTGATATTTAGCCTATAACGGGGACGAAAGAATGATTCTATGTTAGGGGACGAGAATAGATTATCGGTAAAAAATACAAAGAAAATATCTAAAATATATGAGAATTTGGAATTTTCTGGGGACGACTACTCTATCCGCTCTCCTCCGCCCATCCATTGCCTATAAATCTGTAACATGTTCATTCACAGTTCTATTAAGTTCCAATTTTGCAAATTCCTATTTTGTTTACGCCTTTTTTTTTTTACTTTCCTGTTGTAGAAACATTTGATGATTTATACTGTTAAAATTTCTATTGCATCTGTTGTTCTGATCATTGTTGATTGCCTTTTCATGTTTATTACTGGATGTCCAGTGGGACACTGCTGGCCAAGAACGTTTTAGGACAATTACCAGTAGCTATTATCGTGGTGCTCATGGTATCATAGTAAGTAGCGTATTTTACATTTTATCCCTGTAGTTCCTCTTTAATTTTTCTTATGCAGGTGTTAGGATCGAACTCATGCTGCTAATGTCTTGGCAGGTTGTTTATGATGTGACAGACCAAGAGAGTTTCAACAATGTCAAGCAGTGGCTAAATGAAATTGGCCGCTATGCCAGTGATAATGTGAACAAGCTTTTAGTTGGGAACAAGTGTGATCTAACAGCAAACAGAGCTGTGTCCTATGAAACAGCAAAGGTAAATTGATTGGAAACATTTGTTGCAAATTTATACAGAGGTGTAGGTGTTGGAAAGTCATTCATGGATTATTTTCATTGTACAGGCCTTTGCAGATGAAATTGGGATTCCTTTCATGGATACAAATGCTAAGAGTGCCACGAATGTTGAAGAAGCTTTCATGGCCATGGCTGCTTCAATCAAGAATAGGTACAAACATATAGAAATGATAAGATGAATTTATTTCGCCTTTAACTGATAAGCCCTCGTGTTTTTTCATTGGTCCTTATTTCTGTGTGGTTGGCAGGGTGGCAAGCCAACCAACAAAGAACAATGCGAAACCTGCAACAGTGCAGATTCGAGGCAGGAAATCAACCAAAAATCTGGTTGCTGCTCGTCTTAAATCAAAGATGGTTCAGAATATTTCCATTTCTCGTCTGTGTTAAGTGCTCTGTTAAATTTCTATTCTTTTAATTGTATTTGATTTTAAGAACACGATTGTACAAAATAGTTGATATCATGTCCGAGATTTATATTTTTAGCAAGGTCATGGAAGTTCATTGATAGGCGAACATGGTCCCATTGTTCATTGCAGCATAAACATTATCCAGCTGCACTTTTTGGATCGAGATTAAGCAGCATAATCAATGAAGTAGACGCCGTTGTATCATCATGTAATGAAGTCTTACAAACAATCTGATGAACATGCGACCATTAGCATTCGATGTTACCAAGTTTCTAACATGTATTTCTCTAAACAATCAACTTCTCAGCCAATTCTACTGCCCCACATTCAACATACCCAGAAATCAGTGCACTCCAAGTAACACTATTCCTCTCCGGCATTGTGAGCAAAACCAGATATCATTGTATTCCGCGAAGCGGCATCCTTAAAGGGCATGGAATTAGAAAAAAGACAGCCGTTTCCATCTCAGAATTTGTACAATAACAAAACATGATATTATAAGAGACAGTGTCCTTCTCAGGAAATTGATCAAACAGTTTCTGGGCTTGTATTATTTTCCCGGATTTTCTCAAGTACCCGGCTAAAATTGTGTTCCAAGTAACAGTGATGTTTCTGAAAACTCGGAGGGCAGAATTAAATCACCAGATCGAATATAAGAAAACAAAACTGATGCCACTACTCAGTTGCAAGTAATAATGATCCATGTTTTCTAATTTTTTTTAAAAAATTCGAAAAAAAGGTATTCATGCAAAATTTACACTCAAAATCATTTGATGGTTTCTAGCAAAGGGAAATGATCATTCGTCTAGATTTTCTTTTTCGGGAACTCCCGACTACTGAATAAATCACAATGAATTCCAAGTGAAAACCTGTGTAAGATTATGGCTGCGATTCTCACTTGCCACCCAATGCAGGGAATTGTCCAGGATCTTCATGCAGAATTTTAGTAAGCAACAGCTACATCAGAATCAATAACAGTTATAAGATGGATAACTCAATACAATGATACTTTTCACATTCATCGAGCCATGAATAAACAAGGACTTCACATTATTATGCATTAACAAAGATTAAGAACATGTGGTGGAAACAAAAGCTTACATTTGGAGCTCAATTTTCTGTTTATAGCAGCACGGCATTTTTTCCAAGTTGTTACGCCGGCAAAGCCAACCTAGTGAAATTAATTTGTCTATAACAGAAAATAAGCTTGAAGACAACTAGGGGTTGCCTGCCTCAACCAGTCATATGTTTAACTAATTACTGGTGAAAAACATCATACATGATTTCAACCGTGCAATAACGGTAAAAGAACTAAGCTCCATATACCAATGAACTGGATAAGCATTTAGAAATGAAAGAAGCACATTCTACTTAATTATGCAGACAAACTCCACAGATGAATCGATACATTGTTTACAAATTGAGGCTAATCAATAATAATATAAAGAGAAAGGTATGCTAACCTTTTTGACTTTTTCTTCTTTATCGGCATCTTTGCGCTTGTCCTTTACAGAACCCTAACAAACAGAAGCTCAGTCAATATACCAAACACAAATTACAGTATAACTAGAGAATAGAATTAAGAAATTTGACCAGTTTGATAAAGATGTCATCATTGCTCTTCTTATTCGAAAGTTGGTGCATAGACTCGAACTCTTTGGCATCAACTTTCCTTCCTTCAGTCTTGAGGGCAAGCAAAGCTTTCCTCTTCTCCTCATGAATCTTCTCATATTCTTCCAAAGTCATCTCCTAATATTGAGGGAGAAAAAGTACACATTCAAAATTAGAACATTAAGAAAGACTTATTGAACCAGGCAAATCCAAACTAAGTTGATTATTTGATCACCCTAAATCTGATTTCATTGTCCAGTTCCACTGTTCATTATTATTGAAAGTGAAATTTACCCAATATTTCAGTATTAACATAAATTCAAATAGGCAACTAAGATGGTTCCAGGAAATTATAACAGCACCCTTATCTGTTCCATAATAACTAATTAAAGAAGTAAAAACAGAGGGGAATCACCAAAAATTAATTTTGTTACTCAACTACCACCATTTCTATGAAACCAAAAATCTAATTGTGATCAAAGAACCACCTTATTTTCAGGCTCCTCCTCAGATTCATTTGCAGCATTCTCTTTGTTGGCATCTGCAGCAACTTCCTCTCCAAATTGCTTCTCGATGCTTTTCTTTTCATTCTGAGGAGCATTTTCTTCACTCTCCCTAATTTTGACCAAAATTGCAGATGACTGATGAGCTTGCATCACATATACATACATGTATATATAATAAGTATATAGCATATCGAATAAGGAACTTCTTTTGTGCATGCAGCTTAAGATACTGACAAAACAAATACTCACGGAGCAATTTTATCAGTGGCACCACCCCAATTTCCACGCCCAGCACCATCACGTTTGAATTCATTCCTGAATAGATATATGATTAGATCAATGGTGATGGAAAACAGAATGATATAGAGAGATCGTAGATAACAAATAATGCAATCAAGAAGGGAAAACACTAACCCACGTCCAGTCCCAATGTGACGTTCATACTGTCTGCGAGTATGTTCCCCTTCTCCAGCCTCTCCATTGTTATAATCCCCATGGCGACCGCCACGGAAAGAACCTCTAGTCCCAACATTGCTACGCCTTTCAAACTGCTTTCCACCTCCCTCTTCAGAGGGTCTGTACCCTCCTGAATATCCATTGGAGTTATCACTAACTCTGGAATAACGATTGAACCCACTGCTACCTCGTCCACGGCCACCTCCTCGTCCAGGCTCATTCTTAGCCTCTCTCACTACATAGAACCACAAACATGCACAACCTATTCATATAAAACACGTACAACTTCATAGCAATAGATACTCCACTGCTAAATTTGCAAAAAAAAAATATTCTCCTGAACCTCATTTCAAAATATAATAATAACAAGAAAGCGTAAGATTTAACAAAATAGAAGCTTAATGAAAGAGAGAATGAATTTCACAAATGTCTGTTATTTTACTACATCTCTAATCCAATAAACAACTATACATCAATCAAACAACCAATCCCAACCAAGATAATCCATTAAACTACTGAAACAGTACAAGATACAAAACCAAATTTACTACTTCTATGGTTGTTACCTTCAAATGGAAACAATCAATTTTAAAATACAAAAAAGGCAAGAAGAATCAAAAGTCACCAGCTTGAGCAGGAGGAAGTGGCTTGGTGGGGAGCTTGGCAGACTTAACAGGCTGAGCTTGTTGAGCTGGAGTCGAAGCGGGAGCTTTCTTAGGCTTTTCAAGCTTTTGCCGCTCAACAGCAGCAATAATCAAACTTGGGTCTTCAGTATCATCATCCAAGAGATCGAAGGGGTTCATGGTTGCCATTGTTAACTCGAAGAGATTATACAGAAAACTTCCGCTTTCTGTTTTAACTTAAACAAATAAAAAAGCAACCAAGAGAGGCCTGCAATATGATTGAAAACAAAGAAGCGAATAAATGTATATAGGAAAACGAGGAGACAAAAACACACAGACTAAATGCAATGCGAGACACAGAGAGTGGCTCAATAAACCCTGGCCAATGCGGCAGAGAAATAAGAGTAACGCTAGACCTAATCTTAAATAGACTATGGTTTTTTTACTGTGCGGACGAGCTCATTTTTAAGACTTAGCGCATTTTACTTTCTTATTTTAGGGTTATTCATCACTCAAGTTTAATTTTTACTTTCTAATTTTAGGGTTGTTCATCACTCAAGTTTAATTTCACTATTATTAATCATCAAATTTCTTTTTTTATATTATCATTCGACTTTAATGATAAAATATTTTTATCTCTTGATCATTAAATTATAAGGTGACTATGATAGATAGTCTTATAACACGTTAAAACATTATCATTTTGATTCCTTGTAAAGTCATCAAAATAATATCTATGGGCGGAACTTCACGGGGCTAAGATGAGTCTTGACCCTCTCATTTTTTTTAAGTATTAATTAATATTCAACTATATATATATTTAAAAAATAAAGAAAAATTTATTCAATTCCCTTCAATTAAAAAATTATATTTATGAAAATTAAAAAAATACTTTAACCCGCTTAATAAATTCCTGATTCCGCCTCTTTTTATATCGTTTTGGATCATTAAAAAAACTAAGAAAAATTATCTCAATTTTTATAATTTTTCCTTTTTTCTTTGTCACCTTTTTACCTATCTGACCAAATCAACCTATATTTTGATCATTGTTAATTATGATCAGCCACCGCTTATCGTTATCATCGATAATCAAATGAGTTTCAAAAGTTTTCAATAAAATTATTTTATTCTACTAAACACAATGTTGAGACCGTCGGTATATCGCATGACAACAAAAAAAATTAATTCGACGATCTCTTTTAGATTCAGGTACGAGGAACGAATCAGGGTGAATAAAATAAAAAATACATATTAATAATTGAAAATTTTCAATCTCAAACTGCGGAGTTGTGTAAAATTGGTCACGTTCACACAATGTCGATTTTAAACTAATATTATATCATCACGACCTCTACGTAGTCCACACAATTGAAACGAACAATTTCAACCCTCTAATTATTACAATATTTTAGTGCACGAGGCATAATTTTGACTAGACATTATGTCTTCATATAACCTTTAAAAATTTAAGATATGTTTGTTTCATTTTAGTTGGTTTTTCAAAAAATATATTCTTAACTTTTTAATGTTTGGATGACAAAAAATAGATATATAATATAATTTATTTTTCTAATCACCATAGTCGAAAGCTTAAAGACAATATGAGTTTGAGGAATAGAAGTAGTCGACCATAACGATAGGGAGAAGATACACAGCGACTTTCATGATAAGAAATTTCTTTCGTATGTTTAAAAAAATGACTTACGGCCTGATTTTCCTTAAGTAATTTTATGAACTTTTCACTTTAAAAGATAAAATACTCAAAACAATATTATTTTATATATTTGGCTTTAATATATTATTTTAGTGCCATTTTAATAATATAATATTATATTTTTCAATGTTATAATAATACATGATACTATATTCTTATTTTAATAAAATTACTTTTATTTGTTAATTTTATTTAAAATAATGTTATTAAATAATTAAAATATATTTATTAATAATTTTTAGAGTATAATATAATTTTCTTATTTTAACATTATAATTTTAATATTATAATATTATTATTATTTTAACAAATAATTAATATAATATTCTTATTTTAATAAATGTTTAATATAATTTATAATATTTTTATTTTTAAAAATATAATATTTAACGTATTTTTATTTATAAAATTACAGAAATAATATTTTAACAATAATTCTGATATAAATAATATTAAATAAATTAATTTAATATTATTATTTTATTAATAATTAATGTTATTAATTATATTTTATATTTATAATAAATAATTTCTAAAACAAATTACTCGCCAGTAAAAAATGATCTATATAGCATGATCTAAACACATCAGAAAGAAATTATTTTTCAAAAAATTGTAATTTATTTTAGAAAAATTTATTTTTCAAAATATGTTTTCCATTAAATAAGTGGACCTTTAATTCAACTCAAATTAGATTTTATCTATCCATACTCACCTGCATTTTGTCCAATGCAATCCTACTTAAGATTAATATATGTATAAATATGATCCACAATCAAACAAATATAACTCAAATTTAGTTATAAAATATACAGATATTAATATAAAACTAACTTTAAAACAATTTTGGATAATTTAAACAAATTAGCTTAGATTCAAATTTAAAAACTTTTTCAAAATCGGAATTCCATATGATCCAACCTAAAGTTCATGAACTAAGTTATAACTCAAAATTTTAACTAAATTTTAATAAATAGTACTAGGACATATTAACTCAAAATTAATTTTTTTATTGCCTTTTCGGTTTCTTAAGGTTTTGTCCTAATTAATTCAGACTGACCCTTGTTGCATATCTGACTTTGGTGGATGAGTCTCCCAACGAAAATTTTTTGTATACACAAGGCCTCAAACTTGAGACATATTTAAACAATATCAAATTGTTTGCCACTTGAACCAACCCGTTAGTAATTCTAAATCAAAATTTATTCATCCAAAAACCGAGCATACTGAACTGGTCGAATTGCCCAGCCCTTTGAAAAGGTTTCGTCTAAGCATTCACTTGTCTCTGCAGTACAACACTGTGAAATTAACCCTAAATAGTATGGTCTATAAAAACCAAATGAAACATCATTATTCAGTTTGAATTTAGCATCAGCATGTTCCATAGTAAAATGGGCATAATGAGGAATTAGAAATCGTCATTGGGCTCTGGAGGAGCCTTGTTTAGATCAGGAAGCATCGCCAAGGTCTTGTGCAGCTTCACCACTTTGGCAGGGAACATCACCGTATTGTAAACACTTAGTGCCTGCTTCAAGCTTTCATCTTCAACCCTGGAGAAGAAATACCTGTCGATCCACATGCTGGTAAGATGATTCATCGATGGAATCACCAGCTTCTCCACCTTTAAAGCACAAAGAGCCTGAAACATCATCAGGTACCTACATTGTCACCACACCTTTTCCATTGGTTTGATAATATTACCATATTATAGTTTGATTTCATTACCGATTCAACGCAGTTCTCCAGGACGCGAGCCATCCCTTGACGCCTATATTTACCACGGGTTCCAATGAAGGGCATCTCAGCTAACATTTTCCCATGCACCCTAATCTTGGAGTTGGACATCACTCTTGTGTACTCATCTGAACCACTCAATGGCTGATCTCTGCGTTGGATTAGAGTCCATGAAAGGCCATCACGAAGATCATTTCGAACTCCAAGAAAAGACTGTAACCCTTCATAAATCTATTGAAAAACCAATTTTAATCACTTCAGAACACGATGGTGGAAAATGGGTAGCTTTTGGATTCAAGACTAATGATTACCTTCCTGCAACTTTTTCCACAGAACAAGGCAGCTGGAGGGTTCATGAGATCCAGCCTTTCTCCTCCACACCTGCCATGATCTGTAAAATTGGTTTCAAGTTAAGAATCCAAAAGTTTAAATCCTATCATAGAATTGGGTTAAATTAAGTACTAAATTGTACATACATAGCTTTTCACATTGGGCGCACTTCTTTAAAATGCCATTAGCAGTGCCACAGTACTTGCAGACACAATAAAAGCATAGCCAGTCACCTTGGGGAATACTCTGCCAACCCAATTAAAAAAAAAAACATAAATCAAACACCAAGTCAAATAATTATGTGAGCAAAATGGTTCCTTTTTTCAATTACCTCCATGAAAATACACTTGGGATGAAATGTTGAGGGACATTTTTCACAGCAAACCAAATCCCCTCCATCAGCACAAATCATACAAGCATCATCGTTCTTATCGGTAGCTTTCGGTGCAGGCTTAATGTTGTTGAATTTGCGCTTTTCTTCTTCTTGCTTGTCCTCCCAAGCTTCAATTTGGCAATCCAACAAGGAAAGCTGAGAGCCTGCTAAAACTATATGCTGATAAGGCTTTTTGGTTTTCCTCCCTGCATGAACCTCAAACTCTCCCACTGTAACCAGTACAGAACAGCAACTGCATAAAATCCCTTCCCTGTCAACTTTCCCTTCTCCAAGTATATTTCCAGACAGCGAATCGACATACCAGACCACTTCATTTTCCAAAACTATGCCCAAGCTTATCAACCAAGACAGCACAGTTCTCTTGGTTATTGGTAAATCAGACACTTGAGAAAATTTAGTCCTTTTCCTACGCCTGTGTCTCTCTATCAGCCCTCGCCTATGTTCTTCCCCATCAGCACTCGACCTTGAACGACGGCTAGACCGTTTCCTCTCCATGTTCCCGCTAGAATTTTCACCTTCAGAGCCTGGTAACCGAATACCAGAAGCCCTTGGCACTGACCTCCTTGGAGGTCTAGCTGGTGTCCTAAAGTCAGGGTCCGAATTATAGCTCTCCTCATCGGATCCACTTGATCCCAAATAAGTACCCCTGCTGTTCAGAAAGGTCCTGCTCCTGAAATTATATGCCATGATCTTTGGAAACCTTGGAAACTGCACTGATTAGTTAGCTGTCTGAATCTGGAAAATGAAGAAAACTTGACTCAAAATAGAAACCATAAGATTTCCATGCAAACAAAGAATCAAATCATTTCAAGTTTGTACCATGTTCTGATTATTGCTTGATTTGTTTCCATTTTAAGCTTTATTTTGGTTAATTTTCATTACAGTAATCTTCCTGGTTAATTTTATTACACACAAAAGAATATATCAGATGGCATTTCAACATGTTTCTATACATTAATTAACAATAAACTAATATTAACTAGTAATTTTGTAGTTTAAGTTTGTCCTAGTTTTTTTTTATGTTAAAAGAACTATTTCAATATTCATTGTAATAATATTTTTTTAATAGTAAGTGGTTATTACAAGATAGTATATGTTCATAATCTTTCTTAACCATCAACAACGCACACACACCCTGTAGACACATCTACTCTCAAATCCAAAACTTCTAAGGAGAGCATCATTCCTCTTGATTGTTAAAGTCACTTGATAGGTTTATATTCATTTATATTCATTGTACATTTTGTTTCCCAAAAAAAACATATGCAAAATCCATTTAAATTAACTGAAGTCAAAAGTTTTATTTATATTGTGACAACATTTTAGGCAAATATTGATTACATCAAAAATAATGTACATGAGATATAAATATCAATATACAATATATAGATTATTAACATATCAAAATTAATCATATTTTAAATACAATTATAACAAAATATACAAATATATGTATTTTTTTTAAACTTTAAAATTAAAGGTCTCCCTAAAATCTATAATTTTAGACTCATAATTATATGTATTATAAAATATATGTACAAATTATATAATTACAATATATGTATTATAAAATTTAAAAAAGTATAAATATATATACACAATATATGTATTATAAAATTTAAAAAATTATATAATTATAGACTCAAAATTGGTTCTCCCTAAAATCTCGAGTTCTCGACTTCCTTCTATGCAGATGTTATTATTCCAAAAGTATTTTTTTGTAAGGAATTATTAAATAAAGAAAAAAATAAAAATATTATACTGAAAGTTAATTAAAAAAATTTAAAGATTTGAAATCATATGGAAAAAAAATATTTTTGGGGTTTATTTTTTAGGTTTTGGAACACCACTATTGGATCTTTAATCTTTTCACTTCACTTTAAAATTTCTTCAAACAAAAAAATTAACTATAGAGATCATATCTTTAATTTATTAAATTATAAAAATAATAATAAATTTTATTTTAATGGCAAATGTAAAAGGGAATACCTTCTATTTCTTAAAATGAGCTATTTTTTCGCCGGAAATTTGAACTCGCAAGCGATTTTCTTCACTTCGACGAACAAATTAACAAACCTGCCATTTTTTTGAACAACAAAATTTACAAGTTAAGAAAATAAAAATAAAATTTTTTAAATAAATGAAAATTTAAAATAATAATAATAAAATTGTACAAATTCAAGATTTCAGAAGACATGATTTACCTCAACAGATGAAAAATTGAGTTCGAGTTTGAGAAGAATCTCCCTAAGAAAAAACCTTTTTAGCTACTTTATCACACTTTATCACTGAAGACCAACACGAGGCAATAACGTTACACTGCATGCAACAATATAGTGCAAAGTGTTTCACTTTTACTAAATGGTAGGAAAAATCCTAAAAGAAAACTTCGACCACTTTTAATAATAATTTCGATAATTTTATAGAAATTATCGCCGTCTCTAAGAGAAATTAAACTCCTAAAGAAAAAAAAAGAAATCTCAATTAATGTCGTTATAATTTTTAGTTTTATAGGTAGGGTTAGCGGATTTTAACAAAAAAAAACTGCCGCCATTCGAAAATAAAACTAAACTCTTAAAAAGAATAAATTATTTTATTTAATTTAATAAAAATTTTAAAATTATAAAGTTGAATTTAAACTATGAGACATTTTTAGGCACATTAATTAGATTTTAAAATATTAAATTAATTTTCATTATTAAAATTAGAGGAGGAAATGAGATTACAAAGACTTGAAGCTGACTATTTGTGTCAACAGACAATTATTTTACTATTATAATTGAAACTTTATTGGTAATTATTTTTTTAACATTTTCAGTTGTGATTCTATTATGGTATTTATTTTTTAAAAATAAATTTACACATACTTTATATAGATAATATTATTCAAATTCGGGGTTACCAAATACAACATATTACCCTATATCAAATGCAACTCTTTAAATTATAATGGCAATTAATTTTTAAAAAAGATAAAACATGTAAGAAATATTTTACATTTATTAGTTAAAAAATTGAATTTTAAAATTAAACTCTTTTTTCTTGAAATATTATGACAATTATGTCATTCTCCTCTTAATTTAGTGCACAGTTATAAAACATTTACTTCTATGGAAGGGAATTTAATTTTGTTTGGCTTTTTTTTTTCTAAATTAGCTTGTAATAAAACATATTTTTTTATACTAATAGAAAAAATATTTGAAATATGGTATTATCCAGCTGTAATAATTATATTTTTCATATATAGAATTTATCAATAAATTAGTTACTATAACCAAATTTCCATTTATGGAAAATTTAAAATTTTACCATAAATGACTTTATTGAATTACTAATTTTAATTTTTTTAATGGTCTAAGATGATTTCAAGGTAATATCCGCTCAAAAATTTTCTTAGACATTGATAATACATACACAACTTGCCGACGTAGAGTTGCTCGAATCTGAAATCTCTAAAAAAAGATAATACTTCCTCCAATCATTGAGATAACTTAATATTTTAATTAAAAAATATTAACATGTTGAAAGGCATCACTTTAGCATTATAAAAATATTATTGACAAGGGTTTTTGGTTTTCCTCCCTGCATGAACCTCAAACTCGCCCAATGTAATCAGAGGAAAACAAACATCAATTGCACCATCTTAAAATGTTAGTAATTATAATTATAATTATTTTATCTGGGTAAATGTTTTAGAGATATTTAGACTAATTTGAGATTGTTAGATGAATGAAAATAGACAACTGAGATTAACGATAGAAAATGAGAAGATATTCATTGAAAAAATAAACATGAAAAAATCTCAATCGTCCATTTCCACTCATCCAACAATCATAAATCAATGTAAAACTAAAAGTTTTTTACATTGTGTAATAGATCCTAATCAATATAGAGGCGGTGTCGAGTTACATGGTGTACAACTATAAATTTTTACACTGATTTAGGATATTTAGATGAATAAAAATAAATGATTGAGATTAACAACAATAAAAAATGAGAAGATATTCACTTGATAAAAAAACAATGAGATAATCTCATTTGTCCATTTACACTCATCCAACTATCCAAAATCAATGTAAAACTAAGATTTTTTTTACATTATGTGAAAGTCATTCTCGTATCGCTACTCATTCTCCTTTTCATGCTCGGATTTAACATCTACATTGTTCCTAAGTAGCATTTCACTCGTATTTGGACATTGTCTAGTGACATGTTCCCTTCGAGACATTTAAAGCACCTGATGTCTCTAGTGCAATTTGGCATAGCTTCAACTCTTTCTTTAATTAGATTTCCACTAGTGTTTCTACGGTAATTTACATTTTGGAGGTTAAATTAACCTTGGGGTGAACTACATATTTAGTATTTAATTATCATTTTTGTTTTTTTATTTACTTCATTATATTTTTAAATCGTATATAATACTATATTTTGGTTTCATTTTGGTCACCCACTGTTAAAAAATTAACATAATTGTTAACGTGTTATTTTTTATATATTTTTTGAATGATGATATGACATTATCTTATGGTAACATATCAACATCACTATTAATTTTTTAATGGCATGTGATCAAAATGAAACCAAAATTAAATGTTGAGTATGATTTAAAAAAAATAGATTCTACACCCTTAACAGAACAAAAGTGATAGTTATGGTACTAAACTGTAGTTTACCCTTAACCTTATTAATATGGATTCTAACAAGAATATAAAATAAGAAGAAAAAGAAAGAAAAGAAAAAAAGAAAGGGTAATTTACATCCTAAATAATTGAACTTAACTTCATCTTTTTTTCACGAGTCAAACGACTCCGGTAGTTAAAGAGATGATTGTTATTTCTAGAGATATCGAATACGAACACAACGTCTAAGAGGTGTTTTAACGTTCATTGTCAGGTGGTTGAGATTCTTTAGAACAAATATTATTTTGTAGTCATCTCATACTAATAAAAATATTAATTAAATTATTAATAAACATTTTTTTAACAATTATATGTGAAAAATATTATGTAAAAGTGTTAAATTAAGTTTTCTTTAATAAGGATTATTTAATGATATTAGTATTAGTATGGTGAGCGTTTGATCGAATTGAGTCAAAAATTTTCGAGTTATTTGAGTTGAGAAATCTTATTTCATAACTCAAGTTTTATTTGAATTTTTTTCGAGTCGTGTTTATAAAATTCGAGTTGTGTTGTCCGGGTTTTTGTTTATATTTAATTGCAAATATTTATAATATTATGATACTAATTGATTCTAATTTAAACGATTTTCTATAATCATGTATAATACATATATATTTTCTCACATATTTTTCATACGTGAAATACATATATCAAAATCGAGATACTTGATTTAAATTTAAAATCAATCCACTAATTAATAAAAAATAGTTATATGAGTTATTATTCAAATTATTCGAGTTTTATTTTATAATTTAACTCAAATTTAATTATCTTTTTAAATCAAATCGAATTTATGAAATTAGTATTCAAGCTAATTCGAGTTAAGTTTGTGGTCTACCCAAATAGGAACAAAAGAATACACGGATTCGGGATTCCATAAATTACAAAAGTAAAGGCGCCAAGTAATATCCCGGGAAATTTGAAAATCGCAAAAACAAAAATGAATAATAAAAAAAAAACTTTACCTCTTCTCAAAGAACGGAGATGAGGAGAGAATTTTAATGGAGGATTTCAATTCTGAGGTATGGATGATTGCTTTCTTCAACAATTTCAACTTCATGGCAAATCTCATTTTCTGTTTGGTTCATAAGAAAATGTTGCAAAATAAAGATGTTGTAGCGACTAATTTCTCCCTTGCTGTTAATTTCATTTTTCTAACCCATTACTTATTTATTGTTATATTAGATTCCAGGTTCTTCATGCTCCATTCCTTCTGGTTAGTATTTCTTATCTCCAAAGAAAATTTTGAGCTTTAATTTCATTCAAGAACGATTTTAACTTCCCACCCCCCTTTTAAACCAGAACCTCCTGATATAAGGAACTGGTTTTCATCTTACAAGTATGATTCTTTTGTCTTGGATACATGCGAGAATTTCGGAGGAATGTTTTCGGAAGAAAGGGAAAGCGACAAATATGATTTGGAAATTGGTGAAATTAACAGAGGAAAAGAAGAAAAAGTTAATGGGTATGAAGAAATTGGAAATGCTGATGAACGTGACAACTTTAACACTAAGGAGGTAAAAGTTTCATTTGATTTTACATCTTCTTCTGGGCCAACCTGGGTTTTCTTGAATAGCATGTTTATTTATCCCAAGTTAAGAGAATTTTAGCTAGTGAATAGCTCATAGTTCTTCATATCTCATAGTGTTTTTTTTTGGTGGGTTCAGGATTCATTGCACTCCCTTTCAGTCCTTTCTGGTATGTTTCAATGCCACTTTTCTTTGTGTGTGTTGAGATTTTAGAGTGTTTAAATTGTGTTTTGCTAATGAAAAGAATTTAGGAAAGCGAATTAAGACGAGAAGTTGGATTCAGTGCTTAATATAAGCATGTAAAGAAAGTGAATTTGGTTTATGTTTTCATGTTCTCTCAGAGCCTTCAGATATCAGAAAATGGTTTTCAAGCTATGTGTACGAATCTCCTCTGTTGGATACCAATGATTGTTTCAAAAGTCGCGACTCTAGAGAAAGTGAAGGTGAGAAACATGAACTTGTCAATGGAGAAAGCATCAACGATGAATTTGTTAATTCGGATCAATTTCAAGAGGACGCCTCTCACAAGATTTTCTCAGCTAAATTGGTGAAATGCAGTAGTTCTTTAGTAGATGTGCAGAGTGATTCAGACCCTCTCTTTTCTGGTTTGTATAAACTTGTAGTATTCTTCAATTTCCAGAAATAAAGCTTTGTGATTATGTTAAATGTTGTAATGTTTGTTTGTGTTTCTTCTTTCAGAACCTCTAGATATTGGAAATTGGTTCCCAGACTATGTGTATGAGTCACCTGTCTTGGATACCAATGATGAACTTCAAGATAGTCTCTCTAAAGAAACACTATCTAGTCAGGATAATTTCAAGTCAACAGAAACTAAATGTAGAGATGAAGTGGTTATTAATAAGAAGATACGCTCAAATGGATTTGGGAAATGTAACAGCTACAGTCCCATTAGACATGATGAGCAAGAAAATAAGTCTGCTAGTAAGGTAATTTTGGGGTCTTCATTTGTATTTCTTTCGCTCTAGTTCTTGCTCCTTTCCTAAGTTTATTCTCTCGAGTTTTGTTAAATACACATATCAAAGGAATCCATTTATCTTTTCATGTTGGTATTACAGGGTTCGCATTGGTTTGTAGTTAAGGAAAACCTTTCTTGGCAAGTTGATGTGTTTTCTGAGAAGAATTTGGAACCAAACATGGAATTCAAACAGGAGCTAAATAGCAGCATCTATGGTGGATATTCCCTATCTGAACTTAATAGGGCTGAATCTCAATCACTGGATTCTTCAAAGAAGTTGATAGATAGGAAGAGTAGCTTCAGAAAGAGCTCAGAAACTAAAGTTCGAACTGACAAAGTTGATTTGAGAAAAACAAGCCATGGAAGCAATGAAAAAGAAAAAGTTGCTGGAAAAGATAATGCAGAAAATGGTTTTATCACAACAAGAAAGAACAAGTTTGAAAGAACAAATGATGAAAATTCGCAGAGAGGAGCAGGAGGGATTTTGTTACAGTGTTCAAGGAAAACTGGAGATGGCGAAAAGGGTAATGGCGTTATGAAAAGGAAGGTATTGGCAGAAACAACCAATGGGCGGCAGTGTGAGGCAATGGCAATGGAGATCACTGGAAAATGGCGTTGTCCTCAGAAAAGCAAGACTCTGCGCGGCCCTCCATTGAAGCAGCTTCGACTTGAACGATGGGATCACAGGGTGTGACACTAGTGGAAATTCCACATTAACAGAAATGTTGTTCCAAGTAAAATAAAGATGTATAATCGTTTCTTAAGCAATAACAATATTTTAATGGTGGAAACTATTTCCCTTTTTATTTAGTAAGCTTTATTTCCTTCTATTGAATATAGTGGAGAGAATGTATAATGAAAGGCTTGGATTTGATTATATATTTGTTAACCATTTGCTCAAGATTAACTACAACAGGATGAGATTAGAAATGCTAAACTTATTAATCAACAACCATTTCAAGTAAATGATTAAAGTTTATTAGAAGTACTTGTATATATGTATAATGGGTTCTTTTAACGTTCGAGTTCACCAATGCCCTAACGACGATCATGGATCTAAAATTTTAGGTAAACTGTAGTAGTCATAGGTTCGCAGCTAGAGGATGACGGATTGCTAGCTGAGTTTCGAGATGAGCTGGAGTTGGTGCGTAAGGTAAAGGAAGTTTAGAGGTTTGATTGAGTCAAAACATATCAAGTGCAACGTTCGTTTGTCAAGGATCTTGTACAAGGATATAGATTTGGTGGTTTGATCCATAATTTAATTGAAGAGATTAATTTCCGTACGAAGGTCCCATGAGTCGAATTTGAGTTCAACCGAATGAAAAATTTGTCATACGATTTCAAAAAAAAAATCAGTAATTAGTTTTGCAAGTGTGAAAAGAGAAGAATGTTTGAGGTTAGGACTTGTCATCTTCAAATAAACCGAACGTGTGGCGCCATAACCGGAGCCGACCCATTCACTTTTCTCCTCCTCTTCGGAGACCCGTTCTCTGATCCGGAGGATGACGGCTCAGGTAACGCCCTCTTTGACGTTACCCTCACTAGGTCAAGCTCCCCGGAGTTCACCCTCAACGGAAAATTCAGCAAAGCCCTCGACCCACGTATCCTGTAAGCTGCTTTATCATAAGCCAATGCTGCATCCTCCACCGTCTCAAAGGTACCTAACCAAACCCGAGCCCCATTCTTAGCCGGGTCCCTTATCTCAGCTGCGAACTTCCCCCACGGCCTCTGCCTCACTCCTCTGTAGTGCCTCGCTTTGTGTGGATCAGCCGTCTCTGCTTGCGGCTCCGGTTTAATGGGAGGTAAATTCATTGAAGAGTTGTCGGAATGTGCCCATCCGACGGTCAAAGCATCTCGGATGAACCCGAAAACGAGCATGTTCTCGGAATCGTTTTCTTTAAGAGGGAGGTCACCCCGGGTTTCGGTCAAACAAGGGTACAAGCGGCTGAAGCTTGAGCTCCGGAAAAACATGGGGGGAGTGGTGGTAGTGGTAGAATCGGAATTCTGATGACTCGCCGAGTAAGTGACGCCGAATTGACTCCAACATGGCTAAATCGGAATCATTGCTGCTGCTGCTCGAATACATCTCCATAAGACCATAACGAAAACAGTTAAATCTCAAGTAACTTAATAATTCCTGGGATTTGGGGCTCGTTTTGTTTGAAGGAAGAACGAATGAATCAAGGATTAAAAGGGATGAATTCTGAGAAATTAGGAGTCTGAATCTTTGCATGGCTATGAGAAAAGGGGTTTATATTGGAAGTTAGATACATGAATTTGGAATTTTATACCTTTTTTATTATAATAATGGTGGGATATTTATTTATTAAATTTTTTAGAGTAAAGTACACAAATGATCCTCCAATTATAGAATATTATTTTGTTGTGTCCCTTGACTATTAAAAGTTACAAAATGATCCCCAACTATAAGATGTTTTCTTGAGTCCCCCGACTATTAAAAGTTATAAAATAGTCACCCAACTATTCATATATTCCAAAATCGTCATTTTTTTGTTAAAAAATGATGTTCGTCTGAGTTGAACGTTAACCTGCTGATTGAGATATAATAAAATCATATTTTAATGATATTTGCTGACCCCACTGTTGCTTTTAAACACTGGCTCGTCAACATAATATTTCAAACATTGGATCGACGACATAATATAAAGAGAGGTTTGATCCATAAAATACAATTAAAATGATTATATGATCATATTTATCATATCTCAATCAACGTGTTAACGTCAGTCTCAGACGACCGCCTTTTTTAATGAGAAAATACAGTTTTGAACATATGAATAGTCAAGCGACCATTTTTTAACTTTCAATCGTCAGAGGACTCAACAAAGTAACATCCTATAGTTGGGGGATTATTTTGTAACTTTTAATAGTTATAGAACTCAATAAAGCAATGCCTTATAATTGGGGGACCATTTGTGTACTTTATCCAATTTTTTATTTTACTAATATAGCTATTTGAAATTTCATTTTAAGACACGTGATATATATATATATATATTGAAATTGTTGTTGATTCACCTTCAAAATTCATGATGTAATCTAGTTGTCGGTTGTCGGTTTTGCAGGCCTTATTGTCCACTTGCACGGCTGCTAATCGCCGAGTACAAATATCTTTTATTAAATACTAATTAAACAAGATTTAATCAATCCATTTTTTAACTTTTAGAAAATAATTGAAGATTGGGTGGCTTTAAGAGCTTAAATCTAATCATTTGCACACATTTGTTACATCTTGCTTTTTAAGGATTATTAAATCAAACATATTATAGTTTATACATAATGTTAAAATTAGTCTCCGACGTTTATTAAAATAATTATTTTGATTATTATTATTATTTTAGAAGTATTTTGACTTTCAACGTTTCATTTTAGGGTAAAGATATTTTTCTATAGATGAAAATAATTAGTTAACACACGATTAATATTCTAAAATAAGATCATTTTTACCCTAAAACTAAAAGTTAAAGGCTAAAATACTCAAAAAATAAGGGTTAAAGTAATTATTTAATCAAATGATAAGGGCCTTTTTATCCTAAATACAATATCTATGGCTAAAATACTCTAAAAAAAAATAAAAACTAAAAAATTATTTTAACAAATGTTTGGGGGACTTATTTTGATATTATTCCTACAATTTAATAAACAAATGTTACATAAGAAAATAAGGGTAAAGTACACAAAGACGTTATTATGTTAAAAACCCCAAATAATTAATTATTTGAAAAAAATAATTCAAAAGCATTTTTTAGAAAAATAACCCTAATAAATTCTTTTTAATAGAAAAATGACCACCAAATCTTGTGTTTTGCAAAAAGCAATTACGACATCTTATTTTACGAAACACGAGTTCCATGCATTTATAGTGTCCTTTATCCAAAATTTAAATGAAGTTATCTGAAAAGTTGATGGATCTTGCGTTTTACAAAACGTGAGGTCTTTAAAATGTGTTTTGTAGAACGCGAGATAGTCCTACGTAGATAGTTTTGAGGTTATTTTTCTAAATAATGTTGTTTAAGGAATATTTTTCCAAATAATTAATTATTGAGGGCTTTTTTTACATAATATTGTCGTGCACAAATGGTCCTGACTATATGATACTGCTTTATTGATTTCTCTTACTGTTAAAAGTTACAAAATGATCCTCGAATATAGTAAGTTGCTTTGTTGAGTCCCTCGACTATTAAATGTTACAAAATGATCACCCTACCATTCATTATTGTTGGGATTTTCAGAAGCTCGATTCGACAACCGGAACGGTTTGCAAAGAGGGGTCGGAACGGTTTTTGAGTTTAGGGAGTAAGGAGATTGAAAGATAGAAAATTGCATAGTGATTTAGAGTGGTTCGACTTTCTAAACCAAAGTCTACGTCCACTACCTTAGCTCCTCACCAAGGATTTTCCAACAAATTCACTAATTTGTTCTTTCTTTTGAGGACAAAGAGATAGCCTTACAACTCCCTAGTTTTTTCGGGCTAAACTAGAACCTTTCTCTAGCTTTTACACGGGATAAGCTAGAACCTTTCCCCTTTACAAAAGGATAAAATAAGTAAACAAGAAAACCTCTCTAAGGTAGGTGTTTACAAGATTGAGCTCACAAGAATAAAATATTTACAAGATAAAGATGAAATAAGATTGAAATACTCTTCTCTTGTGTTTGATTGCTTGGATAGTTGTTCTCATACTTCTTCAAGTGCCCTTAGCTTGTATTTATAGCTTGGAATGTGTTTGATGTCGTATATAACCGTTGGGGATGTTTTGAAGTCGTTTGGGGATGATTTTTCTACTCAAAAAGGCTGCCCATAACATGGTGCATCGGTGCACTATCAAGGTGCATCAATACCCCTTCATTAAATTCAAATAAACTAGCTGTTACTAGCCGTTGCAGCCTTCGTGCATGGATGCACAACAGGATACATCGATGTACAGCCTTGATGCATCGATGCACAGAAGGATGCATCGATGCACTAATTGCATTCGGTGTTTGAGTGCATTGATGCACTTCATGATGCATCGATGCACTAGTGTAGGTGCATGGATGCACTACAGGGATGCATGGATGTACTTTGACACCCTTTAGCATTTTGGCTCAAATCCGAATTTAATAGACTTTGAATTATTTTTTGAAAGCTTTTAAAACTTTGAATAAATTCAATTAAGTCCAAAAACATTTTGTAAATTCAATTCAAGTCCAAAAACCATTTTGCCTTAAATTGTTATATCAAAACATAGTTTAACAATCTCCCCCTTTTTGATATAACAAAACATTTGAAAAATTATTTTTGGCAAAACTCCCCCTTAATAAATTGTTTAATGAAAAATATATCAATTGTTAACAGTTGTTGGAAAATATATGAAAATGTTAAGCTCCCCCTTTTTCATTTAGAAATTGAATTTTTCAAACCAAACTTCTCCCCCTTTTTGTTATATAAAAAATAATTCGATCTTTGAAGTTCAAAATAACTTTGGAGAGTAAGTGGTAAATTTGACATTTAAAAATCATTTGAAAAATCAAAGCTCTCCCTCAATAAATGTATTCCAATCAAAATTTAGCTTTAAGAACTTGACACTTAAACAAAATTGAATTTCAACAAAGAATAACAAACATGTTAGTAGTACATGAAATTCAATATATCCAAGTCTAAAATACTTTATGCAATACCAATTGTTGAAATTT